GAACAAGGGAATTACCTCTTATGAATGGAAAAATACAGAGGACATTGATTTCCCTATGTTCTACAAAACCTGGCAGTTTGTGAAAGGGAACGTGAACTGTAGATCTGAAAGCGAAATTTGTGTCTTTAAAAACGTTAAAAAAAAGTTTTTTAAGTTTCTAAAAAAACTTAGACAAAGCTTAGATCACACATGCAAATCATCAAGCACTACATGAATTATTTAGTCAGCAAAGACACTTGGGTCTCACCAGCTATGAGCACCCCTAACACTCCTCAAAAACTGCTGATGCCATTTCCTATGTTGGCATTAATGCCTTGGAAGATTATGCTAAATTTTCTGTTATCTGATTGTTCTTGAACAAGATCACAGAATGGGTCAGGTTGGAAGGGACCAGTGCGGGTCATCTGGTCCAACCTCCCTGCTCCAGCAGCGTCATCCCAGAGCACACGGCACAGGTTTGCATCCAGATGATTCTGAAGTATCTACAGGGAGGGAGACTGCACGCCCTCTCTGGGTGATCCGTTTCAGTGCTCGGTCACTGCACAGGAAAGAACTTCTTCCTTATGTTCAGGGGGAATTTCCTGGGCATCAGCTCCTGCCCGATGCCTGTTGTCCTATTGCTCAGCACCACCGAGCAGAGCCTGGTCCATCCTCTGACACCTCCCTTTACATTAGATACCTCCTATTAGATACCTGGTCCATCCTCTGACACCCACCCTTTAGACACTGACAAACATTCATAAGGTCGCCTCTCAGGCACCCCTTCTCCAAGCTGAAGAGGCCCCGCTCCTAAGAGATGCTCCTGACCCTTGACCAACTTCGCTCTCTGCTGGACACACGTACACACGCTTAAAACGCTCCGAGCTTTACAGGCAGCCTCTGTACCTGCAGTTATGCAGTTCTATTAACCTCTGCAAGACCTGCTCCCCCTCCCGAGCCGCCCTTTGCCCGCGGGACTGGGCGCAGGAGCTGCCGCGGGGCACAGACCGCAGGCGCTCCCGCCGCCGAGGACGCGCCGGGCGCGGGGCTCCCGCTCCTCCGGACCGGGACCGGGGGCTGTGGGGGGACAGGTCCTGCCTGTCCCGTGTCCCTCCCAAGCAGATCCTGCCTGTCCCGGCCCCACCAGCACCTCCCTCGGTCGCTGCCGGGGCAGCGGCTCCGTCCGCCCCTTCCGCTGACGCCGCTGCCCGGCGGCCCCCGCGGGCCCGGGCGGTGCCTCCCGCGATGGGGGGAGTTCTTAATCTGAGAGTCTCCGGCTAAAACCCGGGTGAAAAAAAAAATTCAGCGCCAGCTGCCTTGCGCTAAAGGTTCCGCAGGAGTGGTTTCCGGGGTTTAAAACCCACGTTTCTTATCGCGTTCTTTTATTAATTGGTTTTAGCATCTCTCGCCGTGTCGCGTTTTTCCGTGTGCAATTCCGTGCAAAAACATCCAAACGGCTTGAAAGCGAAAATGGGAAAACACTCTGCGGAGGCAAATAGGCGTTTCTTCCTTAGTCCAGATAATGTCAGAACTCTACTATCGCCGTAAGATTAGCTGGAGCAACAGCAGTATGTGCTCACTTGTTTTGGGGTAGTTGCTTAATTCTGCTGTTTTTAATTAGTCATGAACCAGGTGAAAGGAACAGAAGACTGAGTTAGGTGTTGAGCAGAAGCACCATAACCGGAGTGCTTTGGAATGATTTAATAACAGAAATTTGTCTAACTCACGGAGTTAGTATCTACATTTTGCACCTTTGCTACGGATGATGCTTGTATTTTTCTTGAATAGATGCTTGTGGGGAAGAAAGAATTAAAGAGTCAGTGTTCCAAAAACCCCATGGAATGTAATGCATATTCTGTGTCTGTTTCTGGGCATCTGCTTCTCATGATCTGCATCCTTCAACAAAGGCTAAGAATTATTAAAAGAATGAAGTAATCTTTCCCTGTTTTTACAGCCAAGAGTGTTGAGTGGCAATGGAATGGAAAACGCAGCAAGCCATTCAGTTCTCTCCTTGGAGTTTCTGTAGGGAATTCTGTTGGATGAACATCTGTCAAAAAATGCTTTGGAGATTTGTTCTCCTTTTATCTGGCTCCTGAGAAAGAGCAGAACATTATTTTACTTCCCATGGTGATACACTGCCACATAAATTATTACTGCAGTCTCTCTGCTGGCATGTTCCCACTGCTGTAAAGTGCTAACAATCTGCAGGAAAAGCAGTTTTTATTTGTTGGAAAATCCTGCCAGTTTGCAGCAGGAGACACTTACTGGCACACAGACTAAGTATTGCTAGAGGAGCTAAAGGGTGAGTGTTTCACTGCACTACACGAGAGCTTTTGAACACAAAGGTACATTATGTGAGAAATGGAGCTGCCATAATTTCTTTTCTACATAATGCTGCTACGTAGTTTCACAGTATGCATAATTATTAGGCAAAGCAGGAACATCTTGTGGCTGCAGAAGGTCATAAAGGAGCCAGTCCGGCTGCAGGCATTGTAATGTGGGTGATAATGATAGTTGTTTAGGGAGATGTAATTTCTGTACTACACACAAGGGGGCTTTGGCAGCAAATTCCCGACATCTACCTCTTTTTTTTTTAAGGATGCACCTCAGCTACATTTCCTATCTTCCCCACAGCCATGTGAGCTGTCAATTTGCTTAAAGAAAGCAACTCAAGAGTATCCCTTAGTCACATCATACCAGGTATTAGGGGAGTTAAATTACTCCTTTCCTCATGGTTTTCCCGCAGTCCTCTCATGGCCCAAAGGGTATTGTTAGACAGTTCTTTACAGAATGTCTTCTTGAATACCAGCACTGCTGCAGGAGGCTCAGAAAAGAAAACTATACAGACAATCCTGAAAAATATATATCACAGGGAAAAATCTAATTCCTTAAGATTAGATGAGAGAACAGAGCTGATTCTAAGCAGACAGGAATAACAGATGAATTAATACACCACCACATCCTTGCTCTTGTACTGTGCAGTAGGGCATCCCTGAAAGCTCATGCTATCTTTCCAGCATGTAGTGTACTGTCTCTTTGCTTGTCTTCTTTTCTAGTAGACATTATATGTCTAAAAAAAACCCAAAACAAACAAACAAAAACAAAGCCAAAAAGCAAACAAACAAACAAAACCCCCAAAACCCAAACAAACAAACAAAAAAGTAAACCAAAAAAGAAACTGAAGGCTCTCAGGAAGAAAAAATATATCAGTCCTCATAATTTTAATCCTACTGTACTGGGGCTGTTGAAAGGAGATATGCTGAAATAGTTTTCACTTCATCTTCTTAACTGGTGTACTGGTATGCAAAGTATGTGAGACAAGTTGCTTAAACCATCAAGCAGCACAGAAAAATGTCAGGTAACACAGTGAATAAAATGACTGTTGGTCTACATGATAAATCAGTGAAGAATCTTCCTAAATAACTGCTTGAGGTTGAAAAGTGCATGAGGGGAATAACTGAAAAGTTATTAAAAAGGACAACTGCAGCTGTCAGCTTTTTTGTTTCCACATTTCCTGAATATCCATTTCTCCTTCCCAGGGGAAGTTAAGAATCATACTGCCTTGCCAACAAGAAAACTGAATTAAAAAGCAGTAACATTAATTTCACAGAGCTAAAATCCACATTGATTTCTTTTTTTGTTAACTATTCTGTGGTTGTTTATCAGCTACTTTCATAGACTTTGACTATAACATTTATCTCCAGGGGCTTATTCAGAACAATAATTTGCATGTCTTTGACATCACCCAGTTATGAGTTCCCATGTCCAACACAAGCTGATTTGTACACAAATTTTTCTAAGAAAGGCATGTATGTAACATATCAGGTGAATGTCTACCCAAGTGACTGTGGTTGCCAACACCAGAAATGAGTTTGCCTAGGAGGATGTTGTGAGAGACAACATCAAAAGCCTTGCTAAAGTTAAGATAGACAATACCCACTGCAAATATAGTTGGAAAAAAGAGACAAGCTTGGGGTCCTCGTTAGGACTCGTGCCCCAAGGCCTCTTCATTTTGTCTTACTGCACTACTTAGTCTAACTAAACATTTTCACTTTGCTTGATTAACTTTGTATCATCCAAACATCACAATTACAAGGAGGCAACATCTGCTTAGTTAGTAGAACTACACAGGCACTTTCATGTGTTACAAATGCAACTTGGAGATGTGAGAAAGAGATGGCAAAAGCTCAGAATAATGCTATATATCTGCTTAACAGTGTATTCTTGAATGGAAAGACTATTATATTCCCAGCAGTATACACCTTTTGGTACTTTTGCAGAGCAAAATGTGATCTGTAGTGCTGATGATTACAGTGTTTAAACAAACACTCTCTCCCAAGAAATATTTTGCTTTTAACTGATCCTACTGCTGAAGCCCTACTGGTTCCTGATAGCTTGTTGCCATGAATGGGTAATGATGTCACACATTCTGCCCAGTGTCCATACCAGAAAATAAATGAGAATGACTTTTTTAATTTTTGGGAGCTACTTAGCAATTCTCTGGAAGCTCTGAAGTGAATTACAAGGAAGAAAACCTGATGCCCCATTGACCCTACCTGTATTGTATCTTTATGCCAGTAAAGTGGCACAGTAAAACTCCAGAGCAAAGGGTCTGCAGATTTAAAATCAAGATTCTGTTACTTCAATTTACCTTGTTATCCAACATTTCAGTGGGATAGGTGAAGTGTGGCTTAGGGGCTCACACATGAACACACCTGTGCCCTTGGAAACTACATAACTATAGTTTCTGGAAGAGGGTGTACTACTTGTGTCCTTCCCTCCATCAGTGACTTTCTGACAGGAAAATCACTGACAGGAAAATCCCCAAGCAGGGAACAGACATCCCCGCATCAGGTAGCAATTTCCATGCTGCTGCCTTCTCTCACACTGCCTTTCAAATTAGGTTAGATCTGTCCTTTTGAGCTCGGCATCTGGAAGGGAAAGAGCAAGAGGAAATCTCTTGTAAGTACATCGGAAAGGCTGCAGGAACACCAGCGCTGTCACTGCTCCCTCCTCCCCTCCAGGACCGCGGCGTTTGGAATAAGGGAGCGATGAGGATCCCCATCCCCGTGTGTTCTCGCAGGTATCCCTTCCTGGGGAGGCAGAGCCCACCTGCTCAGCGCCGCCACTGATGCGCAGGCGGGTCGGGACAGGTACCCGGGGTCGGGGGGGACCCCTCTGTGCCGGGCGGGGTCCCCGCTCCGCCCGCGGGGCGCGCAGGGAGCGGGGCGGGGCTCGGGGCGCGCAACCTGCGCGGCCGTCGGGTCCGGCCGAGGCGGGGCGGCGGCGGCGACATCAGCATGAGGATGAACTTGGGCGCCCTCACCCTCTTCGTGGCCCTGGTGGGACTTTCCAGCTTCGTCTTCCTCGTGGTGGCCATCGCGACGGACTTCTGGTACATCATCGATGCCTCCAAGCTGGACGCGTCCCGGAACGGCTCGGACGCGCTCAGCTCGCACTCGGGGCTCTGGCGGACCTGCCGCGGTGAGTGGGGCGGGCGGAGCGGCCACCCAGCTGTGGATCCAGCTGTGGGGATCCAGCTGCGGAGATCCAGCTGTGGGGATCCAGCTGCGGGGATCCAGCTGCGGAGATCCAGCTGCGGAGATCCAGCTGTGGATCCAGCTGCTGCGATCCCGCTGTGAGGGTCCAGCTGCGGGGTCCGGATGTCCGGAGGGCCCCGGCATCCGTGGGCAGTGCCTTGTCGATACCCTCCCGTGTTACCTGCCGAGGGAGACATGGGGAGAGCGAATTTTCTGCTGCTGTAACCTGATTATGCATTAACTTTTAATCCGAGCTAATTTAATAAACGTTAACCATTTAGGAGGAAGGAGATGTCTTTTCATTTGGCTCGGGGAATTAAGGGGTGAAAGTTCTGGGTTAAAGCCATTAAAATAATAAATAATAATGTAAAGAACATAAACATAAAGAACTTAAATATAAACACTATAGTTTATGTATACAAACAATACAATTATTGTTATTATTATTATGTATTTTTAAATTAACATAGCAATATAAACATTGTTAGTTTGAAATGCACAACATTTATTAAAATTTTTAACATTAAAATTTAAATTAGGTTATCTATAAATAAGTAAACTTAATCACATACTAGCTAAAGGTGACTAAAGACTCACCAAGTTCACCAGGTAGTTGTACTGTGTTTGGTTTTGCTTAGTGTTTCATAGTTCTAGATTTTAATGAAAGATCTATAAATGCTATATGGATAGTATAGAATTTTCCCCATTGAGTTAATTTGTTACTTTTGGTTTTGATTCCACCATTAAAAGCAAGGAGTAAGTAATGTTCACCACAGTCTAGAAAGGATGTTGCTCCCAGTGGAGTGGGGAGAAGCAGCAGGTTTCAGGAATTCTCCCTGAGCTGTATCCCAAGCCCACTGCAACGAGCAGATGTTTCCCTGCTGACTCCAGTGGTCAGGCCCCATGGGAGCAGCCATTGCTGGGTACTGAAAATCCCCTCCTTTCCTTCCCTACCTAGGAATAACTGTTTTAAAAGCAGTTATTATTATATGAATTATACTTACATGCAAAAAAAAAAAAATATAGCAAAAAGATGTTATAGTGTAATTTTTCCCTCTTTGTTTTTCCCCTTCTCTGTTAGTGAGGAGTGAGTGTTACCCTTTGATAAACCTCTTCTGGCACGAGAATGCAAACATCACCGAGTCACACAGACAGCTTTTGTGTGAGTAGCATTTATATTATTTTTATATTTATATCCACCCTTCCCTCCCTCCTTGGCCACTTACAAGGACTCATTTCTGATTCAGAGGGGGAACTCTCTGAGATAGTGTTTTGTCTCTGCTTCTGTACAACATCTGTCACTGCCTGTGGTCTTTGAGTAGCTTTACTTTTGAAATAACCATCTATTTCATGTCAAGTTCAGCTAATTTCTTCCACAGGAGCAAGACCTTTCTGACTGGAATGGCACAGGAAGGTACACGATTGTTAAAAAATAAAAGGCAAAAATGGTCGAAATCACCTCAGAGGAGTCTGATCACTGAAAATACTTAAGCATGCATTTAAATGAATCTTTTAGGCAGTTACTTTTCTACCCTTTCAGTGGGATTCCTTGCACTGATAAAAGACTTCAGTTAGTGAGAATTTAAGAAAATTAATCCCTGACTAAAAGCAGTGTTCGAAGTCCTTGAAGAACACTGTGTTCAAAAACACTAAGCTCCTAACTCTATTTACTTCCTTTTTTTTCCCTGATACATTAGTCAACGTCAGGATGTTCTCAGAAAGTCCAAACTGAACATTTTCAAATACTTACAGGCACCTCCCAAAAGATGATTTAGCTTCTTTGCATCATATTCTGCACAATCCTCTGCTCACACATGCTCGTGTATGGGCTTGATTTTTATAACCTTTTAATTTACTTACCTCTCCTCTCTGACTCTGGCTCTTTCCACCTTGTATGCAGAATATGTGCATTAGTCCTGTGTCTTAAAATGGGACTCTTTCCCTCAAAACCAGCCATTTCCTGAACAATCCTCCAGAGAGGCTTAGAGCGTCTTCAGTCTCTTGGAGCAGCATCCCCATGATGAGCTAAGAGTGCAGCACATGTGGAAAGGAGACCTGGGAGGTGCTGGTGGTGGTGGGGCTGTGTCCCAGCTGTAACTGGGAAGCTGAAGTAGGAATAAGATCCCAGTGGGCTTCTGAAAGAGCCATATAACATATCGACAGGCTCAAGACTAACAGCCCAGGTTGTCTCTCTGAGCTTTCAAATACAAAAGTGCCATTTCTTAAATTTTCCTTGCTCAAGACAGAGGGCCTTGCCTGCTTGATGTTGCTGAAAACTCTGAGGATCAGTGAAAATGATTGTCTGCTTGATCACTTAAACCTTTGAGGGGTCACTGTTAATTGAACCCAACCAGACTGATCACGTTTTAGGTGTGGGCAGCTCAACTGTTACGTTGGGGATGGTCCAAAATTTCAGGATAAAGTTGTTAGCATTTCAAAAGTTGTGTGCATATTTGCAAAAGGCACATCTGTTATTTCCCCCAGGTGAGGAGATTTTAGGTTGCATCTCTTCAATGAAATAACAAAGCAAAATCAGAGATGATACAGAGTTCTTTTGGTTATAAAAATGATGTTGGCTTGGAAACAAAGGTAGTCATGAAGTGTAAGAAAATAGTGGATGTGAGTAAAAATTGGATTAATAACTATGTTTACAGGCTCTCCAGAGCTTAACAGAATTTTTTTTCTCTCACTTTCATATCAAGTACTATTTTTAGGTTCCTGGACAAAGACTTCAGGTCTGCAAAGACACTTGGAGATTTTACGATAAACAGGCATAGTCTGCCTAAAAATGATGAGATAAGAAATCAAAGATACTTTTATTGAAATAACCTGCTAGGCTTGATTAGAATGTCCAACAGAGTGAACTTTTTGATTTTTTTGGATGTTCAGCTTCAGTGCAGTTTCAGTGAGGTGAGGCTACAGGTCTGCAGCAACAGCAGCTGAACACAGGAACTGCCATGCCAGTCCTTCTTCCTTCAAGGAAATACAGATATTTCTGAGTGACATCTAAGTTCATTAAGTACTGAGATAGTACCTTCTGCTCTTTCTTAAATATTTTCTGACTGTGGTCACTGAATCATATTTAGGCAAACCATTTTCATCTACGACACTTTTTAACTAGAATTTTAGAGGAAAATTCTGAGGGCATGGATTGCAGTGTATTTACAGTAGTTTCTTCATCTGTTGCTGTATGGGGCAAACAAGCTAATTGCACAGCTTTAATTGGTTACTTCAAAAAAACCATATTTTTCTCATGTGTGCCTGTGCAAATGTCTGTGAGGAACATTCACATGGGATTAATCTCATTCCATCTAGCTGTACACACATATTTCTCACTGATTATTCCTTAATGGACTGTCTCCTGATGTAGGTACTTAACATATCGGTCACATCCCTCATTCTTCAGAGTTTGAATGCACTTCTTGGTGTGTCTTAACTAGACACAAGTGCCAAAAAGATGGGAGAAAGTCTGTATGTGAGTGCAAAGAGCTGGGTCGAAGTGGAAACAAAAGTCCTGGTCGCTGCCAGAAGACAAACCCTTCATTAGAGAACAAAAAACCTCCACATTCCCTTCCTCCACACTTCCAATCTCTCTCCTATTCATCCACAGCATATTCCTTTTAGGTTTACTGTGTACTTCAAATAGAGCTCCTGGTAAATTAAAATGATTTGGTGTACAAGTTAAGATCCTGGGCCAGCAGCAATATTACTCAGACAATCAACACAGGTGCTGTTAAGCCTGGCAGTATGACGTGCTTGCACATCACAGGAGTACTCTTGGCTGATTCCTCTCATGGATTAGACACAAACATGCCTCCTCCTCTGCATTAGCCTTCCACTTCTTTTCTTACCACTCCCTCCAGCTGAACATACAGTGTATACCATCTCTCTCCCTCAAGCCCACAATGTATAAAATATTTTCCTACTACAGATTACATTATGACATGGCTATATATTTGGTTAAAACATCATCCACTGACTAAACAAAAATACCACTATAGACTTCCTGCCACTAGTTTCCCTGAAATTTCTGCATTTTAAAAATGCTTTTTTACTGGAGATGTACACTTTCCTCTGTCCTATACAGGATTAAAACTGTCACTTTTCACAATTTAGACAGTTATTAGGGTCTCTTGGTGACCAGTAGAATTAAAGATAGTCCTCTGAAAATCACCCTTAGAACTGAAATCTGTCATCAGACCCCCCTTGCTGTGTGTTCTCCTGTGCAAGCTATGGAAGACAAGCAGGAAGAGCAACTTTTTTTCATGGTGAGCTGAATCCATCTCTCACTAAATGATATAATAAGGGTGTCACTCTCACTTCAAAGGAAGCTGCATCAGGAGCTCTGAGCAGCTTTGCCATTTTCCAGTAGAAGAAACATAGCATCCCCAATCACATCGAAGTGTTGAGGATCACATATAGAGAGAGGGAAGCTGGTGTGTAGCAGAAATGGCAGTATTTAATCACCTGAAAGATTTTCCCCAAGAGTTTCAGCGTTGTAAAAGAAGTTCTTGAAAGAAAAACCAAACCAAAACAAACAGAGCCAAAACTACAAAAAAAATACCCCTACCAAAAAAACCCAAACAAAAAAAAACCCCAGTTTCAGTATTTCCAAGGGGCAAAGGTTGCTCTTAGGTACTTTTGTAATATAAATATTTTCCATTTACCACAGTCTGTATTGTTAATAATTAGTGAATACCAGTATAGATTTAGGTAAAGGCAGCACCAGTGTAATCCCTGCAAAATGAACAGTGTTTTAAATATTTTTAATCAAAACCAGACAATTTCTCTTGAGTCTTAGCTTTGCACCTGAGCTGGTGTGGGGTCCCACCTGCACTACAGAGCTGGGGCTGGTGTTATGAAAAATAATGTGAGAGGAACTGCTGTTCTTTCTTACTGTCTGCATGACACAGAAACCATCTGCATTAGGTACCTACAGGTACCTACAAGCCTCTCACAATCCTGATTTTTTTGTTATTGACATGAACATCATGGGCAGTGATTGATTTCCTTTTACAGGTCCATTTTTAGTGCTCTCCTGTATTCTTGAGCCATCTAGAGATGAGCAGTTAATGGATGTGGTTTCCACTTACATGTGGCTGGAAGAAAATCTTTTTCCTGATGTAAAATCAAGACTGGAGTGTGCAGCTGCCCAGTGCAACTGCTTAAAGTATTCTCCTAAGAGTATTTTTATTTTTTCTTTTTTAAACTTCAGTGTGATTGGAACATGAGGCTGCAGACAAGTTAGTCCTTCCTGCAGGGAAACAATCTTTGCAGCAGAGGCAGTTACTGATGCCTCAGTTGTTTTAATGTAACAGCTGCCTTGGTTTCTTCCTCAACAAAATTAGTTTAATAGTACAGATAAACTTGTCTGGATTTCCTTACAACATGTGGACCCTGTAACAGTCACTAACCAGCTGCTTTCACACTTTGCCCTGCTCTTCGTGGTCCTGCTTCATTTTTACTGAGCTTATTTTATTTTTAGTTTGTAATGTTATAAAGAATCCCCTATTATTTGGCTGCCATTACATTTTTCCTTGGGGATTTACAGTTCTTCACAATTTTTCTTGTGGTTTGAAGTTATCAGAAGGAAAATAGGGCTGGAATATCTAGCAAGAGCTGGTTCAGAGGCCAAGTGAAATAAGACCCAAATGATGTACACAGAAATTCTAATTTAATTGATGTGGTAGGTGTGTACATAAAGGGATCTGCTTTGTTTCTGAGCAACAGTGTATTGTTCCTTCAGAGAGGTCCCAGTGAACATCTACTGGGTGCTTAGAGTAGATATTACAGTAAATATATACAGAAATCTGAGATAACTCCAGCATCACTGCAGCTGAGACCAAATGAGTGACAACCTGTGATGAATGTTCTCATTTTCAAAGTCATTGGTACCGTGGCAATAGCGTGTGAGCCACAGTGCACCACTCACATCCATCATTCTACCCCTTCCTGCTTGTCACTGTCCCCTGTTCCCTGTCCAGCATCATTTTATTTCTACTGTCTGCAATTTGTCTTCCAGTTGAGCTCAGAGACTTTCTGAAAAGAGCACCAAGCCAAAACATGTAACACACAGGCCAGAGCTTGGCTAATTGTCCTGGAGTTCCCTAACCCTGTGAGCAGTCCTCCACCAGCATCTTTTCTCTGGTGATCTGGAGGGAAACCAGGCCTTTGTGTCCCTGAGGTCCGAGCCCAGAAGTCTCACTGACAGCAGTTCTTTTCAGTTGCTCATTGTTTTTCCAAGTTGTTTCCTTCCTTTCTTCCCTACAAGCAGGTAGGTCTTTCTCCATACACTGATCCTTCCTGGCTTTGCCAAGTCTTTCCAGAGCAGCCCCACTGTTTTTAGCAGCTGCCAAGCGTTCGGTTTCAGCTCGAGCCTTTTGTCTTTCTAACTGCCTATTTAGTAGCTGCTGGGTAAGATAAACAGGGCCTTAATTAAGCTCTTCTGAGCCGCTGCCATTTGGAGTATTTCTGATGAGGTGACTATTACAGTTTTCTAGAGACTATTTGCTATTATAAGCTGTGCAAACAAATCCGAAGTTGCTTTGAAGCAATTAAGCTCCAGCACGTTAACAGGAGATGATTAACAAAACTGCTCGGCTTGCAGTTGGTTACTTCTGACACCGCTCAATTTTTCTAGTTCGTTCCACAGATTTCTCTTTACAAACAACTCAACAACAACTGTGTTGGGTGGTAATTTAGAAGTGCCTGCCAAATCCTGAGATCTGGACACACACTGCAGATGTCATTCTTACAGATATTTGGTCCCATCTCTACTAAAACAGCTTTGGCTAGCTAATGTAAAACTTCATTAGCTCAGATCAGGCAATTCAGTTCTTTTCTCTTCTGCAAAAACCAGGAGTGTTTTTTAAATGCTTATGAGTTTGTTTCAGTATTTCCAAGACTAAACTATTGGACCTTTTGTGACAGGGAACTCTGGCATTGAGCAATAGACGGGGCAAACTGAATTCTGTTTTACAAGAAAGTGCACATACCTCTTCTTGTGCAAAATGTTTAGGCTGGTGGTTTTTTTTCAATAGTAGATTAATTTCATCAATATGAAGAGTTATATGTACAATATATAATGCATCAATGTGTATTTCAACAGAAATTGAAAAAATACTAAAATGACTGCAAAATTAATGTTTTAACTTCTTTCACAGATGATTATTGAGGACAGAAACACAGTAAAGATATTTTAAGTCATGTTCTTCTATAAACTAATTCTGTTCCTCTAATCAAGGAATATAATGGCATAATATCATATGCCAGATGGCATGAATTCAGATTCCTGAGTGGTTTCCATGGCAGCATTTTAGAATAAGTTTCCCAGGCAGTTGCAGATTTCACAGGACAAATGAGTATTAGATATTGAACTTGAACACTGGAGATGATAAAGTGCTGTTTAACCAAATACAATCCATTAAATATTTGATTTTAAAAAAGCTGCAGGTGATTAATGGGAAATGTAGCTGTGTATAGGAAAAGTGAGGCTCTGTCACAGTGGGATTTGTGGGTTTCAGCTGAGATATCACTAAATCCTGTATTTTCACTCAAGAGGGCATAAAAATCAGAGTTATTCTGATGCTGCATGCAACTGCCACAGATCATTAATGTAATCTGTGACACTCCCCAGGATGTTCTGGTATGGATTTGCTTTCCCTTTCCTTCACAAGGTTCCATTCAGAGCCTGATCTACCTCACCCACTGTCCTGGCTCAGGTTGCAGTAGCTGAAATCACACCATGATAAGGAAAGTCAAAGAAATAGCAAGTGTAGGTGCTACTGTCCTGAGGTGTAGCTTGTTGGCAGTCAGTGAGAGACACCTGGAAAATCACAAGGCATGTGATGCCAGTGATGAGCTTATTTCTGTTTTTTCCCTCCCAGCAAAGCCAGGTCTGGGGACAGAGTTGTACCATTCTTACATTCACAATTTTAAAATGTTAATTGTATCTGATTTTATCATATTTGAGCATCGAGGACTTTTCACCTTTTACGTGCAAGACCAAATCTAAGGGAGCACACGGATGTCAGAGTGGTGGGGAACCAAAATCAGGCCCGATAACCCTCAGCAAGCACAAATGTGGCTGAAGACCAGCCTGTTTCTGCTGCTTCTCTGGAATCTGAGAGCTGAATTGGGTTCCAAATCTCTGTTCTGTCACATCATGTTGCATAACATCCCCAACAACCACTTCTACCTATATAAAACTGCTGAACTGAGTTCCATGGCTATTTCTTGTCTTGGTATTCAGCTAAGAATTGCAGACAGTTTTGACATACTGGTTTCTACCCAGTAAGCTGAAGATTGATTTGGCTGTTAGCATCTGAGAATTGCTACAGGTTTGTGTTTCTTAGGCAGCGACAGCAGCTGTGGCTACTTTTGCTGAAGGAAAACACAGGGAGTGTCCTCAGCTTTAGAATCAAAGAGAGAAAGTGCTCTCTTCAATGCAGAATGCTGAATTTGTCATTTCTGAGCATCAGCTGGTCCTGATGTGGGCATATGTGGGATTGAATATGAAAATATAATACCAGCATAAATAAACAGAAACGGAAGAACAGTAGGGTCACCTCCCAAAACTTTGTCATTTGCCACATTTTTCCTTGTGATCATGTTCTGTGCTACACAAAACAAATAATTATATCTTGAAACCACATTCTCCACAAGAAAACAGTGTCTGCCTTGATCCCATGCAGACCCTTCCTAACCTTCCAAGCTTCTAGAACTGAACAGAGATACATAATTGTGTCTTATCTTTATAATGGTGCTGAAGGGGATAAGCTGGATCCTTAGCCAGTGACAGAGGGAGTGCTTCCAATTCAGTGGGCAGTTACAGTCACTTAAAAAAAAATGATCATTTGGTCACACAAAACCTGTGATCTCTTAACTGATTCCTTTTCCTTGGGAACCAGCTAATGGTGTATTGTGATTCCTCTGTGAAATTAAATGAGTCACTGAAGCCTAGACCTCTTCAGAATATGGATTTTAAGGGATTTTTTTGTCTCAGCACTTTGGTATTAAATAAATTGACACTGGAATTACTTTTTCTTGGTTATTATTCTAGAAGAGGTTGGGTTGAAGGTTGTGGATAGATTACATGAGAAGGAACAATGACACAAAGATGGTTCATGATGAAAAAAACAGTGTGATATGAAAAAATACATAGCAACCCTCTGTTTACACAGCTATTAAAATGTTATAGGGATCAAGAAAGACTAATGTAAAACATTTAGCATGGGAGGAAGCGAGCAGGATAGGTTAATGTACTTAGTGAAGCTGCTGTAGAAAGCAATGACAGACAGAATCAGAGCTGGATGGGAAAATTTACCTCTAGTTGATGGTCAGCTGCAACAAAGGAAAAGGTCACCAATTTGCTAGATCTGTTCAGCAGAGGACATGTGACAGAAGAGAAAGAATTTAATCAAAAGCATGGCTGGATCTCACCACCCAGACAACAGTGCCACTCACTGTGATCTGTGTGATAACCAGGGCTACTTCTGATTTAGGTTGTCAGTGCCTACCTGTTATCCAGCTTGGCTTAATAGCTCAGTCAGTTTAACTGCTTAAATATATCTATGCAGACATATCCTTTATATTTCTGGTCTCTGTTTGAAACACAGGCTGTGATCCTGTGAGGGCTTGCTCTGTATGTGACCTTTTCCTCCATATCATATATTTGTCCTGCCAACTTAAACTGAAAACCCAAGAGGTTTTCCAATTTCTTGTTGATTCAGCACAGAATAAAGCTTTGATTCTGCTCAGGGGCTCTGCACTTAATAATTATTAGTGCATCCATTGACACCATAATCAAATATTGAAATATTAACGTTCTTTATTTTTCTTCAGACATGCATGGAACATTTGTCATCCTGATGCCCCTCAGCCTGATACTGATGATTTTTGGAGGAATGACTGGGTTCATCAGTATCCTTGCCAGGGCCTACCTACTGCTTCTGATGACAGGACTGCTTTTTCTTTTTGGAGGTACGATATCAAACCCCCAACCTAACCAATTTAAATAGTAAGGGATTATATCTCAGAAACATCACTTTGTTTTTCCAGAGAATAAGAGCTAAGCAGGAGTTTCATTTCAGAATAATGCTGGTGTTCATCCTGATGGGATTCTGGAACAGAGAAACTTAGAGTCAGGAAAGGCAAATAATCACACACAGCCAAACATCCTTGTGCAGTGAGTCACACTTTGAACACAGAGTGTTTGCTGTACCCATTAACACAAATGATTTAATACCTTCTAAGCACAGGGCACAAATTCTTTACAGACAGGGTAATGGGGTAATTGACTTTGGAACTAGTAAAGCATAGGGTTTGATAACCTTACACAGACCTTACACCCATTAAGAAAAGTGACAATTTTTTAAAGGCTTTTGCATTGGGTTCCTGAAAAGTCTTACTGGGTAAGTCTGCTCCAAGGATGTCTTTGACTCAGTTATTTGGAAGTGATGAGTAGTCATGACTCCACAACGCTTGGTGGGAGGTGGCAGCAAAGACCAACACATTTACGTTAAACACTCAAAATTTACAATACTCAAAATTAGAAAGCAGCCTAAATTCAGGTTAGTGACCTGACATGCAAGAATCTGTGTCTCTGTGGGCTTTCTGGCATAGAGGTGGACATCTGCACATGGTGCTCAGCAGTGAGGAATCAGGATGTACTATAATACAGTACTGAAAACAGAGATGTGTGTGCATTAGATATCTGTGAAATATATGACTGGATTTCTATTGTGGCAGGCTTGATGTTAGACATTTTGATTCAGTATTTAACAGTGGGGACACATTATATTCAATGAACAGAAAACCAGCCTCAAATAGACATCAAAGATAAACTGGGAGTCTGGCCTGGGTGGGATAGGAAGGAGTGGGAAAGAAGCCCTAAGCCCTATCCAATTGATTGGTTTTGATTTAACCAGCTGAGTATGTCTCTCTCTCTCTCAGCTCTGGTCACACTTACTGGGATCAGTGTCTATATTGCATATTCAGCTGCTGCCTTTGAAGAAGCTGTCTGCCTCCTGAGGAGCAAGGACCTCCTGGTGGAAATCGATATCAGGTTTGGCTGGTCCCTGGCCCTGGTCTGGATCTCCTTTGTCGCAGAAGTGCTCACTGGGGCCGTGTTCCTCCTGGCAGCAAGAGTTGTGGGTCTGAAACAGCAGCGTGAGCAGACGTTATGAACAACAGGTATCCCTGCAACAACAGAACCCTGAAGAGCCTGACAGTCTGGATTGCTCGGTCCAGCTGCTCACTGGGGGTATATAAAAGTGGAAGGCTGAGTGCCTTGTCCACTGCTGTAAACCTTTTCCCTCACAGTTGGCTATAAAACACAAAGATTCTGATAAATCAGTAAAACATTGCAAGTGCTGTCAATAAGGACACCCTTGTGACTTTAGAAGAAAGTACATTGCAGTGTTAGTGTTTTCAGACTAATTTCAGCTGGCAGCTCATAAGACATCTCCATTCACTGCTTGGAACAAGGCTGATTTCTTGCTTTCTTTTATCTTTTTTGCTGCCTAAGCAAAGTGCCTCAGAGTACCTTGCAGGTCAGCTTTTGGTTTCTCCTCTGAGACTCCTAAGAAGGACATGGACCTGCTGCAGTGAGTCCAGAGGAGGCCACAAAGATGCTCCAAGGGCTGGAGCCCCTCTGGTATGGAGGCGGACTGAGAGAGCTGGGGGTGTTCAGCCTGGAGCAGAGAAGGCTCTGGGGAGACCTTAGAGCCCCTTCCAGTACCCTAAGTGGGATACAAGAGGAAAGGGACTTTGGAGAAGAGCCTGGTGGTTGGAACTAGATGATGTTTGAACTCCTTTCCAACCCAAACTGTTTCATAATTCTGTAATCCAGCAGATGGTAGTGACTGTGATGGTAAAGTCCTTGCAGTGGTGAGTGTACTGCAAGAGAAAGATATAGCTGCTTTCCCAGATGTTTTAACTAACTACTGTAGCCAGCCCCAATCTACTTCAGATGCTCAGGCTATATACTTATCTCTTTCAGCCTGTCACTAGCTGCTTTTTCAATTCTGTAATGCCGAGGATGTATCTGATGCATTTCCCAGTTTTTATTTTGCATTTTTGATGATGCTTCCTTTTCATGAAGTTTGTGCACATGCTTTGTGCTAGAATATGTTTGTCTTGTGCTGGAAGCTGCTGAATAAAGTGAACACACAGGATACACAAATTTCATCCTAGGTGCCAAAGCAATCTAGTTTTTCCTCTGGGTAGTAGCACTTAAAAGAATTGAAGTTACTCAAGAAATTTCCCCCTGACTGCTGTGGCTTTGAATAAAGACATGAATGTGTTAACAGCTTCCCTCCTTTTCTGTGAGATCATGTATTTCTGGAGGGCCTCAGCACGCTGCAGTTCAGGACTGTGACTCAGGAGCTGTGTCAGGCACACTCTGTCATTGGGCAAGTCCTTTGTACATCCTCCAGTAGTGCAAAGGGCATTCACCTACCTCTGTTGTATATCAGGACAACTTTACCAGTGTGTCCCACGTTAAGGATTGCACATTCACTCTTACTGAGCTCAGCTTTTAGTCCCACAGTACCAATTCCTTCATGAAAAATAGTGGCAGGGAGCTTCTGGGAGCTTCCAGCCTTTGAAGACAGAAGGGAACATTATTATTACCATGCTGTGAATGGAGAGCTGAACCAGAAGATCTGTCCAAGGTCACATGAAACCAGAGTTTCTGAATCCCAGTCTAAGACCTGAGTTGGCAGTTGCTTGTTATCAGACTGAAGTAAGACTAGAAATCCTGAACGGACTAAGTAGTAGAAATTCTGTGGTTAGTCAGTCCAATTTTGTAATTCTCACTTGCTCTGACATTGGTTTTCAGGTATTTTCCACGTTGCCTTATGTTAGGACCATGTAATTGAGTGATTTTACAAGTTAAAGCATACCAAATCAGCTCTAGAAAAAGAGTAAGAAAAACAAATCCTTTGTAGTAAAAATTCCATGTGCTTAAGTGAATTATGTAAAATGTGATTCTGTGTTTTGTTGCTGGTGAAGCTATTTATAATACAATTTGTATGATGTTACTCAGACATTACTGTAAGTGTAATACAGTAAAACATAATCTGAGTTATTTTTTGAATATTTATTACAGATGTTATTTTAAAGTGGTTTTGAATGTTGTAAAATTAAATAAAATGACGTCTCAGAGCTGAGAGTTATTTACCAAGACATGGAAGAACTAGGTTTTATATTTTTCCCTAACTTTTTCTGCAGATCTACTGTTTTTATGATACTTTTGAAGTGCCTGTGTCACATGTGGTAGGTATTTAAAAGGTACTTGCACAGCTACAATATAAAATACTCAAGTGATCAAATCTAATTAGAAAGCCAATGAATCTGTTATTGAATTAGAGCAATTGTCATTTCCATGGCTCTCCTAAATTTCTCATTCTGGCTTCCTGCAATATCTGGCACAATGGTAATAAAGAGTATCTTCTGCTCCTGAATGTTTGCATAACCCCAGAATTTCTCTGAAATTCCTTCTGAATACAAAGAACAAAAGACTGTTTGGAACAGACAAATTAGCACTGAACACGTTGAAAAATTATGCTAGGAAGAGAAAACATCCTAGAATGGATTTTTATGTATTTTGAGACAAATGACCTTATAAGCTTCTTCCTCTTACTGAAACTAATGTTTATTTAATACCCAGTTCTTTGCTGTGTTTTCCCCAAAATACATTACTGAGATGAGGACACTGAGTGTTCCCATTACTTTGTGGTGAATTGCAAACTCATTGGTAATTGGTCACATTTCAAGTGAAGAAAAACAGATGTACTGAGCAGAGCAGTACTGTTTGAGGGGCAAAGGCACAGAGCTACTGGCCCAGTACCCATCAGTAATTTAAAGGCTTCCTCAGGAGGTGACAGACAAGGATAGGAGAGGTCAGAGGAATCCACGAGCATGAAAAAGGTGCAGATATACAAAACATTTAGAGGACATGCTGCTGAATATTATGTGGACATGAAGCCACAAGGATTCAGTCTGAAACTGTGCTGTTCCCCACCTTGGCTTGTGCAGAGCAGCTTGGATGTCTCTGTTTACTCTGGTGACCAAGGGGACATCACTGGCAATTAAAGAAGCTCCATGAATTTGTTGACCACTGATCCAAAGCCAGTAGACCTGTGTGGTGGGTTGACCCTGGTTGGATGTCAGGTGTCCATCCAAGTCATTCTGTCACCTCTCTCCCTCAACATGGGGAGAAAAAAAGTCTACCAAAAGGCACAAGAAAAGGGCAGGGAGAGGTCACTCACCAATTACTGTCACAGGCAAAACAAACTCAACTTGGGGAAATGAGTTTAATTTATAACCAGTTAGAGTAGGAGACTCAGAAATAAAACCGAGCCTTGAAAACACCTTACCCTCACCCCTCCCTTCTTTCCAGGCTTAACTTTACTCCTGAATTCTCTGCCTCCTGCCCTCTAAATGGCACAGGGGGACAGGGAAGGGAGGTTATTTCTGAAACATCTTTCTCCTCATGGAGTGGACTCCTCACACCCTTCCCCTGCTCCAGCGTGGGGTCCCTCCCACAGGAGCCAGTCCTCCATGAACTTCTGCAATATGAGTTCTTCCCATGGGCTGCAGGTTCTACCCCAGAATTATAGCTATCCCTGGTTACGGCTACAGGTATTTAATTACTGGATTGCATTCTAGTTAAGTTACAAAAATTAGATTATTTTGCTTTTACTAAAACGTTATAGTGCTGTTTTACTGCAACAGCCCTCTCTTCTGTTTTGCGCATCAGCTTTAACCCTAACTAGATCCTCAAACTTTCCCCTCCCTTTTTGCCAGGGCTTTCGGCAGCTGTCACCGTCACATCCGATCTTTTGATGCGTATTCACAGGAGCAGTACCTGCTGCTGGGTCACATCTCACTTCGGCGCTTGTGCTGGTAGCGATCGCAGTGTGAGCGCTCTCACTGGGGAGATCTGTTCGGCTTTGTGACGGGTCGCACAGAAACCGTGGTCTGTACTGACACCTCATGGCTGCGCTGAGCACTTGGCTGTATTTGGGGAGAAACCATTTCTGTGCTCGCAGCACGTACAGGACAACCAGGTGATCACGCCCAGCCACCCTGGCTTTAGGAAAGGCCGTTGAACTCGATTATCCTAAAGGTCTTTCCCAGCTTAAACCATTCTATACTATTTTTGTATGGTTTGAAGAGCAGAGGAGACTATCATGCTCACTGTGCTCCAGCTCCTCTATTTTATAGCCCAGAGACTCTCATTTAGAAACTGCTGATTCCCAGTCTGTAACACCTCCCAGCTGCTGGGCATCTGAACTTAAAATGTCAGGTGCTGGAAAACGTGCTGTTAATCATGCCTGTGTTTGTTTTTAAAAAAGTAATCACAAAAAATTCTTAAAGGTTTTTATGCTTCTGTTCATAGGAGATAGATGGTATAGCCATTCCATTGATGGTTATGTTTGGAGTAGATTGACCAGTATTGTTTTTGATCACATTTGTGGGATAAATGTTGAAACTGCTAAGCAGAAACTAACCAAACTGAATATCTGAGGATGCAAACGATAAGAAAAAACAAATAGCTTTATATCATGGCTTATATGACAGACTATCTAAGAATTGAACAGTTGAACAGGACAGACTTCAGTATTGGTCCAGAAAATGTTAGAGGGGTTCTGGAGGAAACAGCATGCTACATTTTTCTGTGGATATTAATTTTTTTTACCCTCTTTCAGTAACTTTTTTTTTCCCAACAAAGTCAGGAAGTTCTGCTCTCAGTATGAGCTGAGCAACACCACAACACTGCTGAATTTTGAAACTATGCAACAGCTGTCAAAGTAGGAGAGACCAAATCTAACCTCTCGCATTTATAAGATTCAGTCTTCTTTCCTAGGAGCTGTGGCAGCATTATCCACTCCAGATCTATGAATATATCTCTGTGTAGACTCCTTAGACAGCTGTAATTCTTCCAAGCCAAATTACTGGGCGAGAGCACCTCCTGTAAAAATTTTTAGCTGTGGTGCAGGATCAAGTTGTTGGACTTATGTGTTGGATGAACACTATTTGGAGATAGTTCCTTCATCCCTGAACTACAGTCCCCAAACAGATGAGCAGCAGTTTGTTAACAATCTGCAGGTATTAGAGGGAAAGGATGTGATGCCATGCCCTACCATACCCCATGGTAGCTGAAGTGGCATTGATAGATTGAAATCTCTTGTTATGTGTGACCTACTTTCTCACTCTATTACCTGAGAAAACCCATCTTTGTGATCTTACAGGACCCTTCCAGGTTCCATCATCATTGAGGACAAGGCACTAAAGTTAATACTTGTAAAACTGCCAGAAAGAAAGGGATATGGGACAGTAAGAAGGCAAGTTATCATCAGTTAATGAGTTACTGTTTATCAGCTAAGCTGTAATAATTGAATATATTTATACTCCCAAGTTATCTCCCACCACTCTTGAGTATTAAAATGCATTTATTCAGCGCAGCATCTCTACAGCCTGGTCCTGTTCACACCATGCTTTAAGCTATTGGGTTTAATATTTCATGTAGAGCAGACCAGAGCAGATGAGCAGTGAAGTGTTAAAAAGTAGTACCTTAGTCCCCGTGGCACTCTGCTTGTATGACTCATTTCAAAGGTAGTGGAAAGATGCCT